AGGTCCTTTGCAGCCTGCTGTAGGCGACCCTGCTTGGGCAGGGGGTTGGACTAGATGACCCACAGAGGTCCCTTCCAACCCCTGCCACTCTGTGATTCTGTGCACGCCAAGGTTTCAGGGCCTTCACCCCCCCTCGCTGGCCATGGCCCTGGGGTCTCTCCGGTGGCCCGGCAGCCCCTCGTTCGGGATGCGCAATGGCACGGTGCCACAGCAGACCCAGCCCCGGCCGACCTGCCTCCTCCGGGGCGTTCTGACCAGTCCAAACCGCACGCAGGCGCCGAGATTTGAAGGCGCTTCCAGACAGACTGATCAGTATATCTGGTCTGAGGAGCCACACCTTGAACGCTCGTCACCCACATGGGTGGGTCAAAGCCCCGGGCTCTCCCCGAGGTCATTAACGCAACGTGAGGGCACCTCGTGAAGCACCGACCCCAGCTCCTGGACACGGCAGGGGATGAAACGGCCGGCTGGGGGAGAGCTCTCGGCATCGCACCGAGAGCCGCAGTCGAAGCAGAGTTTTGTCTGTTGGTAATTCTGGGGATGACAGTATCAATACATTGAAAAGTCTCAAACTGTGACGCTCCTCCACTACACCAATTTATTTTTCCAAATTACTGCATTATGCAGCAAAAAAGGCTTGTGACATATATACGCATGCACCCATCAGCTTGACACCAAACAGATCAACATGCTGCTGCGTAATAATTTTGACGGAATCAAATAGATGCTTTGGAAACTACAGCCGGGAATAAAAGACATTATTTATTATACATACTGTAGTAGTTCATAAAGGCCTTGGCAGCAATCTGGACACACTGTACTCGACACCGTAAAGACACAGCGCAGCGGAGACCCCACCCTAAAGCACCTTCCAATGTAAATACATCGGACAGATAGAATTTATTTACTTTTCATGCTAGCTCAGCCCTTGGCTCACCACAAAAGGTGCCTGACTCCCACAGATGAAGGCTGCTCTTTGCCAGTGGCTTTCCAAGGATCTTCCCCTGGTAGGAAAACCAGCAAGTACAAGTTCTAAAAGCATCTTTTTAAAAAAATATTTATTTATACACCCATTTAGATATGCAGTGATTTTAAATCAGCCGCTGGATACCATCGTGCATCTGTACTGCATTTATTCCAGTTGCTATATGAAAGTTTGCATATTCGTGGTATTCATCTTCTAAACATACTTAGTACTTCAGCAATCCTAGAAGCACATATAATGTAGTCACGTTAATGAACATTAACTCATAATAACATAAACCAGTGCACAATTAAATTGCCAGACTTGATTCTCTTTCATTCATGCTCTTAACAGTTTCACGTGACAAACAGTCCACATCTAAACCACACTGCTAGAACAAATATTACACATTATAATTTGACCACTTTATGAAATCGAGTTGCTCAGTACGTCTGCGCAGGTTGTACGGGCTTCAATGTAAACTGCACAAATGATGATAAAATCTCTCAGTAAAGCACTTTTGATCGTTCGATTTCAAGGAGGGTTACCTGAGGGGTAAGGCCCATCCTTCCCCTTCGGGTGACGAGGACACTGAGACCACAGAACCCCTCAGAGAAATCGCTCGGATTAGTCACCTCAGAGCCAAACTACCAGAACCGGCCTCTCGAGTCCCACTCTAGAGGACAAAGTTTGATCCAATTAATCAAGTATTACCCATAAAACAAACAAAGCAGCATGTGTTCCCCTAGAAGCCCCCGTCATTCATCCCTCTGTCGCCATCGCTGCTGCTCAGCATTATAGTGGGAACAAACAGAAGCACATAATCTTACAGCTGGTCTATTGTCAAGGTGACATATTAGCAGAAGGATTTGCAGACATGTTTGCTTATGAAATAAAGGTTTGCATGTTCAGAAATGCAAACGGTTTCTCTGTACAGGAGCTACACACCACAGAGAAATCTGCTCCCTGAAAGCTGTGTAGAACTGAGGAACATCGTTAAGAGGCTATCAGGGACTACCAAGGTTTGCTGCCTCCCCCCTGAGAGACATCAGAAACTACAGAGCATACACAGCTGCCAGCACGTACAGAGCATGGTGACAGGCTGGTACAGCAGCTGCACTGAGGGCCTGAGCAACTCTTCAAAACAGTGGTAGAGCAGGGCTGTCAAGGAGGAGAACTGGGCACATTTACTTCGCCTTTGTGTAAAAATTGACATTTGCCTCTCAGAGGCAAATCCTGACCCCAGTGAAGCCAGTAAGGGTTTTGCTAATGACAAAAATCAGGTCAGGATTTTAACTCAGATTTTACTTCCAAATTTATTTCAAGAAAGATTTGCTCTGTGCTGAGTTAACTGAGGCAGGCAGATTTGCAGATTTCTGTGCCCACAGAACCAGCAGGAAAGCTTTACTTAAAACCATGGTGCTTTGATTTCATTTTTTTGGTAGCTTGGGTGCAATGTTGTTTTGGAACCACATGAAGCTGAAGATGACACCCATCGTCTTCGGGAGAGTCTCATCATAAGCAAACTTCATGGAGTCTTCTAATGGTATTTCTACAACTTCAATCAGCTCTCCTTCTGCAGGGTGGCCACCTCCTTCGCTGGTTCTCATCTGGTCTGTTACTTCTGTGTAAAATAACGTTTGTGTAGAACCTGTCACACCAACTCCAGACCTGGAAAAAAGCAGAGTGGAAACTTTGTTTTAGATAAAAAGAAGGTAGTTCGGAAGTAGGAATGGAAACCTGGGTCCTCAACTTGTGTCACTAAGCAACATCAAAATGCATGTCCTTACTCTCTGCTAATGTCATCTAGAACCTATAAATGCAATTTCATTAATACAGAAATTGATTGTAACTTTCATGCAGAAATACCAACACTTTTAAATACAGTTGCATACGAAATAGATCTGTCTTCAAATATATTATGCAACTTTGGAAAAATATTAGTTTGGGAGAAAATAAAAAAAAAACCAGTTTTCGAATTGGCGAACTGTTGTTCTACACATTCTGAAGTCAACAGCAGCTTTTTCAGCTGACCTTAGTGAGAGCTGGACTGCAGGATGACTCAGAGAGCGATCTGCAAACAACAGCAGGAAGCTCCTCAGTGTATCTGCATGCTGTCATGCTATATTTGTTTGCTTGTTTTTACGCAAATATTTAGATTTTTTACTCTTAAGAAGATTACGTCCATTCACAGCTGGGGTCCTCTACTCATGGACTGGAGAGGTATGAGAGCAGAAAGGCAGCCTGAGAGTCTCTCTCGATCCTGCCTGAGCTTTAGCCTTGACCCAGTGGACCACTGCAAGCACGCACGTATCTGAAGCAATTCAGCCTCCCTCCTAAATTTGTTACAGTGGATTTAGTTGAGGATATTTTAGATTATGTAGTCTTTCTTCAGCTAGACCGCTTGCTGCGTATTATACTTCTTATTTGTTAATCCTCTACTTCCTCAGGACTATTTCATTTAGGTATTATTAAATAAGGGATAAGTACATAATCCACTCATTTAGTCCTTCCAATAAAATATTCACATCATAATCACAACTTCTTCACTTCACATGATTACAAGTGACTTTTCACATTGAATTTGGATCCAAAGCTCACTGAAACTATGAATCAGGCATTAGTGCAAGCTGCAAAATTAGCCTCCATATTATTATATATACAGAGCATTCTAAGAGTTGTAGCAGTGTTATGACCTTAGAGTGTATACCCATACTTACCCAACCATTAGCCAACTAAATCTTTCAGTTAATCCATCATAAATCACATCCCATAGCAGGAATTAATCATTTGTCTCTTAACTTTCTAAGAACATTGGTAATTATATTGCTTGGAGAATTAATAGTGATTACTGAAGTTGGTTTCTTACATGAATATACACTTTTTTTTTTTAAACACAGAATAAAGAGTGAACCAGTGAATTCTTCTTCTGAAATTACTTCTGATACATTCTGTGATGCTGAACAAGATGCTTCACCCCTGCAGGACCATTCCTGTACAGCTGAGCAGAGAAACTTAACCATTTTTGGCACTTCCAGGAACTCTGAAGGCTGCTATGGGACTTCTTTCATTCTGGGCTCCTCGCTTTATTTCAGTGTCAGTAGTGGGGTTTTTTGGTACACATTTTAACCAACAAAATGTGACCTACTGGGATGCAGCAAGAGGCCAGACTGTTTTCCCTCTGTCTTCCACTTTCACCAAAGTACATGACCTCCTTCTTCAGTCAATCCGATCCAGTATTTACTTTCCCCAGGGACCTCTTTTCTGCAGCCACTGTCATTGCTATTTCTATGCTATTCTGATGGGCACCGGAGATGGTTTACTGACAAAAGAGCCATCCAGGGCTGACAGTCATCCACAGACTGTACGTGCCACCGGCACCAGATCAAATCTCCTCTCAGGACTCCCCGTGCCACACTCCCTTTCCCATTCTCTGGAAGAGTAATGCTGCTCGCCAGCCATGCTGCCACCCATCTCACCTCCACCAAAGGTCCAGCCAGTAGACAGCACAACCCAAACGCAGCCTTTGAAAGCAGAAGGAGTCACATGCTGGGACCACCACGCTGGCTTAATCATTCTGATCTCGTTGTACAAGTAACGTAGACTCATTTTTCTTCAAGTTGCTATCAGCAACCGGCTTGCAAAAGTTGGAATGACATTTTTTATGCTCATGTGCTATCAGTGCTCTTTCTGCCATGAGGAGGATGGCACATTTTACTAGATTCCCTTTGTATTAAAATACAATATATTTTTCTTGATATTTGCAAGCAATAATGTATAATATTAAAAAGCAACACTGGACATTAAACACCAATTAAGAACAAACAGATCTATTTCACAATCCATCAGGGCTGGCTGTTTAAGCTCTAGTCATTCTCTGAACTGCCTCCCCCAGCTTAGTCACTTTGACATCTGTCACCGATCACCGACCTATGTGCTACCCACTCCTCGCTATCCTACCCATATCCATGAGAAAGAGCCTCACTGAGAGAACGTATTTGTGACGGGATAGTAGATCGTTTGCTCATTTTTTTGTTCCCTCTTCTTCTTCTTTTCTTGTGTGAGGATGCAGAAAGGATTTTATTCTTTTCAACCAACCAGAGATCGAGATCTGTTTGTCTCGCTATATAGTGATTACTTGTTCTTCAATTGTTTCAGCAAGAATTACATTTTTAGTAATCAAATAAACATAGGAAGCCTGGGATTCAGAGATCGTTTTTTGGTAACTGATAATAAGAATAAAAAACACGTGTTAATTTGTACTGTAAAATTTGCAAGACAAAGAATGCAGCTCGCTAGTCTCCACAGGTACTCTTGAAAAGACACAGGACTATGCATAATGTACTCAGTGTTATGTTAGTTCTAATGAGTGTCACCACCAGGAGAATGAAAATGCTCTTAGACTGGTATACCCATGTCCACCTGATTATGTAAAGGCAATATACAAAAGCATAGAGACTTTATTTAAGAAGCCCTTCTACAAGAACCTTCTGGCTTGATTACTTACAGCACAATCTCCTTCTATACCACCTGTGACCATTTGCTTATGAAATAGCTGCAGCTGTGGAAAACACAGGAGTTCACTTTCCACACATCTTTTCTTTAAAGTAAAGGAAAACTACTTCCTGCGGTGCTACACTGCAAGATTCATTTTCTCGCCACTGTAGCTCAAACAGCATGGAGTGATTTCACCATGCTGTTATTTCATTGTATTCACTCATACGATACTTCTGTTAAATCAGTGTTTCTCTCATGAATTAAATACTTCAAGAGTGGCTACTACACTGAATACTCTTTAAAAGATGAAAGCGCAGACTTCAATGTCTTTTCCTTGTTATGATGCCCAAAGTTATGGCAGACTTTGGAGACTATCGCGTGACACTATTTATGTACGTATGCACTGCTTTTATTGTCTAGCTACATGTTTATTTTAATGGTTTCAGAAAGAGTCTGAAACATACAGGAATATACTTTAATTCATAAAAAAAGCATATTTCTTACCTTTTTTTATTTGATCTTTCTTTCTCTAAATGCTCTGGCTTACTCTTCCGGTTGATCATTTGTGTGTTGATCCATGTGGAATGCCCTTTACTAAATTAAATATTCTCCAATATTGCCTACCACTGTCTTTCACAACATTTTCAGACTCGTAGATATCAATGTATCCTGCCTGTCCTTAGAAAATTGTCCAAAAATCAATGCTATTGACATTTAATTTTTCTTAGTACCTTTGATTTTTATAGAAATCAAAAGTTAGCAGGCTTGTTGCTTTGAAGCTGTTTTGAGCCTCTATCTCGTTGAAATAATGAAATATTTTAACACACACCCTTGGAAAATGTGTATACATTTCAGTGATTTTGGGTACTTGGGGCCAGAGGAGGAAGAGAGGAGAGGGGGAGAAGGTGGGTCTGGCTGGTAAAGAGGCAAAAGGCTGCTATTATTTTTCAGGTTTATCTGTCACTAGGAACTTCCTATGCTTTTGCACACTTACTCATGCTTTCTGAGTATGATGTTTAAGGAATTTTGATGTGCCTTTAATCATGGTTATATTGCTTTCTCTGCTCTCTTCTTCCTCTATTGCAAGTCTGTGACATATGCTTTTCCTTTTCCTAGTATTTCACATTACAAAAAAAATGCTTTTGCCATGGTCTGAAATGAGTCACCTATTAACAGATTACAGCTATATTCATTAGCTTTGCATCTGTGGAAATCACAGGGGTCAGCACACCTGAACTGCAAGTGATGAGTTTCACCCTGGGAAAACCACCTTCCCGATAAAGGTGTCCCCTTCCCAGTGCACGGGAGGCTTGGTCTGTGGGAGGGCGAGCAGGGTCTGAGCTCGCAGCACTGGCCCTTGGTGAGGCTTTGGGCTTCAGTCTCACTCCACAGGCTCAGCCCACGTTGCCCAGACCAGGCACGTCACGGCTCACACTGATCCAGACCTACTAAGCCTGGCTTGACCTGGCTGATTGTTCCAGATGTATTTTGATGTGTCTGTGCGGCGCTCGACTCCCACTTACCACTGTGGGACAAATGCAAATGATCTATACAAAACACAGCACTGTTTTCCTCGCCTCTATCGTGAGGACCAGTTTCCTCCAAGCAGCTCATAGTTGTTTCAGTTAACAGCTACATGGATGACAAATACTCTTCATCAAATCATTAGGCCTCAAGCTCACAAACCCTGTAACTTCAATAGAGAGAGACTTTGAAAACCAAAAGTCTATTAGCACTAAACTTCCAGCATTGCTTCAGAGACAATTAGAAGCCTCCACTACCTTTGACAACAGCAAGTCTGAGAATGTAAGCATGTCAAAGTCAGGATACCAGGTTTGCGTCACAACAGTAACTTCAGTGCAAGTTAAACACATCAAAACAAGATTGCATGCTGCATTCCCATATTTTATTTTAAATCAAACACTCAAACACTGTGATTAAATCATGCTATGGCTTTCAAAGCTGTGGGCAAAACACTTGCAGGCAAGAGTGCAGCAGAAAAGCAGTTTCTGCGGAGTGACTGCAAAGTGCTTCTGCGGACCTCCTGCCCAGGGGTGGGACTGGCTGGCAGAACGGGGCTGTAACGGGAGTATTTTCTACCTGCTTCCTTCTCACACCGGAGAAAACACAAGAAACATTGTTAATCCAATCTGTTCTTGAAACACGGCAACAGC